GTAACCAAATCTAAGATCGACTTTTGAAAAAATAAATCTTTTTCTTATTCAAGAATTACAGGTAAGTATGAAGATAAGTAGAATGTGTGGTTCTGTGCAGAGCAAAGACTGGATAAAACAATGGACATAGCTACCATGACATCATCCAGTGGTTTGTAGATTCTTGTTTTGAAGCCTCCAGTTCAGCATTTTAGCTGTTGCTATCTTGTTTTTTTGGAGCTAGAAGTGACTATATTTGGATAAGAGGGTGGGGCTGTGGATGCTAAAGATGGATCTGTTTTACAGTATGTGATGATGCCCTGCAGACAACCAGTGAGTCAAAGTCACCGGCCCTTAATTAAGTGTAAATTAAAGCCCTTAATAAAATGTGAACAGGTAAGTTATATAATAATTCTGGTACATTTTTTTTGTACCAGGCTGTAAACATGCTTATTTCTGCTGTAATGTTGGGCATTTTAACATGGGGGTCTATGGGGATCGACTCGCTTCCGGAGCCAGTCTCAAGTGGCTATTAGGGGAAGTGCAGTTTTTGGCACTTAGTCGTTGGCTTAATTTTTCAGTCCTGGAGGTTGTCGCTTGGTGCAGAGGTAGGTTTTCTGTAGACTAGACTAGAATTACCACATCAGGGTTGTATGCCTCCACAAAGCAGTCAAGTTGCAGTTACAGTTTACATCCATGTTTGTCCAGGCTCTTATTAAGCCATGACAGTAGACAATACTTTAAATATGGATGTTGCTTCAAAGAAGCTACATATTCCAAAAACATGGATGCTTCACATACATCTTCAACCCAGTAACACAGAAGATCTATACAATCAGTACAGGTGGGCACCCAAGATCAGTGTCAGGATGAGTGTCACCAGCTAAGTATCTGATCAAATGTCTCCCCTTCTGTTCCTGAGATATGATGCTGAGTAATGACCAGAAAAGTGTTTCTGCAGAACACTGTGATGTCACAGTGAGGTTGACCTTTGACCTTTTGGTTACAAAATATCATATTTTTTTTTCTGTTAGACATTTGAGTGAAATTTTGTCACAAAAGGCTAAGAATACTTAAGTTATGGGCAAAAACATATTTTGTGAGGTCACATTTACATTTGATGACCAAATTTATCATTGGCTCCAAGTTGATGTTTGTGCCAAATTTGATAAAATTCCCTCAAAGTGTTCTTAAGATATTGTGGTCATGAGAATGAGAACTAGGTCACAGTGACCTTGACCTTTAACCTTTGACCACCAAAGTCTAGTCAGCTTTTCCTTGAGTCCAAGTGGACACATGTGCCAAATTCAAAGAAATACTCTCAAGGCATTCCTGAGATTACAAGTTAAAGGCGCTGTATGTAAGAATGTGGCCAAAACACATTTGTTTGCCTACGGGCGGCTGCCGTGGCAGGGCCTTGTCGCCGCGTCCCTGATCTTCCGTTTTCCAGCAGACCGGTGGAGCAAGTCCGGCTTCTCTGCTGCTAACGCTGCTGCCGGGATACAGCTGAGGAGAAGCCAGCTGCTAATGCTACGTACTGGGACACTGCTAACGCTGCTGCCGGGATACAGCTGAGGAGGAGCCGGCTGCTAATGCTATGTACCGGGACACTGCGTAATGCTGCTTGCCGTGCTGCTGTAGCTCAGTCGTAACTGTAACTGATGCTGAGACTCTACTGACTGCGTGACTGGTAGACGGCGGGGTGGGTGGCGCAACAGGCCAAAACACAAATTCAAAACATAAACATGATTTGCAGACTGTAAAAAAATTTTTTAAATGCAAATATTCTGGCTGTACTATTGTTGTCGGTGAGATCAGTATGTTATATGAACATTATTCCTTAGTCTCTGTGACATATTAGGATGATTTTACGACTATTTGCTTTAGATTTCTTACATATAGCTTCTTTAATGAGAATGAGACAGACATGAGGTCACATTGACCTTGACCTATGACCACCAAATTCTAATCAGTTCATCATTGAATCCAAGTAGATGTTTGTGCCAAAATTTGAAGACATCTGCTCAAGGCATTCTTGAGATATTGCATTCACAAAAATGGGACACATGGTTGCATGCATGTACGTATGTAAGTATGGACAACTTGAGAACATAAGGCCTTCGGCCACAGCTGCCACTGACGTGGAGGAATAAAAATACAGTGTTATTTTCATTGGTAAGTTTTTAGATTTGTAACATCAGAAATTTGACCTTTTACCAGAGGAGCCTGACTCATTTTGACAAAATAGAATTAAAAGATGTAAGTAAAACAAAATGAAATATATGTGGTGATTAAGACCTCACAAATTCATGTTTCATAGTATTTAATGACTTTTGAGGCCTAATATTTATAAAGTTTAATTTAAGATATTTCAAGGACCTGCAGTCACTCTGTGCTTACAAGGATGCATGTACACAGAAAAGGAAACAAAACTAAGAGTCTCAAGTGAGAGCCAATGTGGCAGATGGGCCAGCAGTAGAGTAACATATGACTTTGTGCCCCTGAGTCTCCAGTAGCAGTGGGCCAGCCAAACCTTAGCCACTAATGAGGCTCTACACAGTCCCAACAGAGCCCACTCCACACACTGGGAACCAGACACACACAAGGAGGGAGACAGACACTAAGATGTAGACACATGCCCTCACACACACAAGCATACACTTGCTGACAAGCACACAGATATGAGAGAAATTTAAAAAATCTGACGCACAACCTTGGGCACCAAAGCAAACAAACACTAAGGGGCACGCTGACATGGCATGTGTTTGGTACAAACCTTGTAGCTACAGTTTTGGTGCTTTTTATGTCTTAACTTGTTTGGAGGATTGGCATCCCTCTCTACTAGTCCTCAGTTCTAAGGTAGGTGTGGGTGACTTGGATAAGATTCAACAATGATTACAGTATCACAGCGTGGCAGTACTTCATATTCAAATGCAGGGTGAAATGTTTAACAACCTCTTTGAGACAATTTGTTTTGTTTTTTTATATTGTTGTAGCAACATTTTATGGTTATTTCAGGAAATTAACCATCCCAGCGATAATCAGTGCAGTCCATAGTTGCTTCTAGGCCATTTATTCTTAGTGTCGTTGGGTCTGGGAGTTATCCAAGACTAAGTGAGGTCATCAGTTTTACCTCATAAGATAAAATTTTCAGTCTGTTCATCATCAGCGCAAAAATGTTGTGACGAAGTCACATACCTAGGTTCCAGTGTTTTTAGCATGTAACAAAAGCCATTGTTTTCAACAACGCTGTACGGACGCAGATATTTGCTCATTAAGTAGGCGATGGACTGGATTATTTTCTTAGCTCTCTCAGAGTTCGATGATAGATTTGCAGAGCAGGTTTAGCGATTGCTAGGCCATCAGTGGCTAACGCTATCCCTGGATGGTGGAGTGTGAGGTGAGCCCTCATGTTCGTAGAATTCCTAGAGTATTTTATTCTCTTATGACACTGCTTGCAAAGAACATGTGTCATACCCAAATCCTCCTTTCCTTCTGTGGAAAAAAATCCAGAATAAGTCCAGATGTTCGATTTAAATGCTAACTGCGCATTTCTGATTTCTTTCTCCAGTGCCTCCATCTTTGTTTTGGTGAACTTCCCGCCAAATGCAGCCGACTGAGACCTCTGCTGATCTCAACAGGAGAAACACATCAGCACCATCTAGTGGACCGAAAAGGCAATTGATTTTATTAGTCTCGTGCCAGAAGTTGTATTAATGTAAGTATTTGCAAACATTAATAATGTATATATTAAAAGATAGATACTTGGCGTCCCTGTATTGATACAATATCGCCACACAAAATATCGCGATATTATGCTGTATCGGCTTTTCCCCCATCCCTTATATGCAGATATATTTTTGACTTGCCTTCTACTATGTCAGTTTTGGGGCTCCATATATCATGGGTGTGTAGAGCATTTAAAAACTTTATATCAACTTTATTTTATTTTTTATCAAAAATTATTTTTGATTATTTTTAAAATTATTATTTTATCAACTAACTACAATATATTTTTTTTCATATTTGTCAACTACAATCATATGAAGAAACTATACACGATCTTGAATTGCAGCACTACTGTATTTTGAGGATCCATAGAGAAAATATTACAAATTAGGGATTCTGAAATGTTTTTCACAGCATCTTAGATAAACTCAACTACTGAGCCCTAAAATGAAACCATTTACAAACAAAATATGTTTGGAGATACAAGGTTTTCAACTGGACTGCATGCACACCATGCGGTTGGCCCATCCTCACACTGATACAGTGACATTACATGCACACACACACACACACACACACACACACACACACACCCTGTATGCTCAACCACAGGGTCAGGCCCAGTTGTATGGCACTGTTGCACATTTAATTTTCTTTTGAGAAGTATTGTGAGTCTGGTGATATTATTACAGAGCAACCCAGTCTGGAAGTAATAAGTTTGAGATATACTAAGGCTGAAACCTGAAATCCATAAATAAACAATAACAGTGGCCTTGCCTTTTAAAAAACTATAAGGCAGGGTTTTTTTGCAGACAGACCCAGTTATGACTAACAGCTTGTGACAGGCAGATTCAGTTGCAAGACAGCTTGGAAGAGGATTTACTGTATATTATTACTCTTTGTGTGTACTGCACAGAATGACTACACAGCGCTTATGATATATTCTATTGATTAAAAGCATTTATTAGCTAATGGAAGGCTGTAAATGTATCACACATGCTGTATAATCTCTATATTAGCGTCCTACTGGCTGCAGATTCTGTGCATTTCTGATCATGGCTTTACCCGGGGAGTGCAGTGGGAGTGTTACCCAGAGTGTCTCTTTGTTATCTTAACACAATGATATTGTGTTTCAGCGAGCAGGATCCTGAGCCAAATAAATTTTGAGGACGCAGATTGTTTCGTGATACACACACTGTGCCAAGTGCTGATGGCGTGCTGTGTTTTATGGGTTGAAAATCAGAGGAAGAAAGTACAAGAGAAGGAAAACACAAAATGAGACTCTCTCTTACCTTAAGAAGCACTTCAACACGTCAAACTGCAAAGAGAAGGAGCAAAAAAGGGGGAGAGATAGAGGAGAGAGGGAGGAATGAGAGGGAAAGAGAGGGGGAAAAAGATTGAAATTAGATTACCATAGGGTACAGCTGCAGAACAACAACTTTCCAAGACACTTCACAGGAGAAATGTGTGAGGTAAAACAAAAGAGATTTCAAAGTGTGAGAGTGGATTTCATCTTACAAGCAGGCCTGTTGTGCATTTATCTGCAATGTCTTTCCCTCTTTGCTCACAGAAGTATCACTTTATCACTATACAGGCTGTAGGCATCTCTTTGTTCCACAAACTGTTCAGCAATTACACAGATTCAAATTCCTAAAATACAATTGCCAAGCATTCCTCCGAAGACCAGGTGGGTAGTAATGTATTACATCTACTCCATTACATGTACTTGAGTATTTTTTTTTTTTTTTAATAAAATGTACTTCTAAGAGTAGCCCTAGTTGTTTTGCCAAATACTTTTAACTCTTACTTTACACTACTAGCCAATCATAGCAAGGCAGATGGAACAGAGGAGTTGCCCTGCCCACTCCACAACCCCCCTTCAACTGACCACAGTTAAAGAACATGGCAGAAAAAGAAACGCCTCCGTCTCGCTTAGAAGAGGCACATGCACACCCCCAGTCCAGTCGTCATAAGAAAATGTTGGCATTGAATTTTTCTGCAAACTAGTTATGTTACATCTGCGTGCTTCTTATGTATCATATCAACATTTCTAAAGTGATGTAGTACGTGAGCTGACTCTGTCATCAGGAGGTGGTGGGGATAGTGGTTGGTGTGACACCTGCCAAGCTGCAGACCACTGTTCGAGACCAGCAACCAACAAATCAGATTGTTTTGTAGTTAATCACTGCTGCATTTCCAGCGGCTTTCTGGCCACCAAATGTGGTTGTTTTTTAGTGACTCATCACGTTGTTTCCACTGGGGATAGCGCCACAAAAATGAATTGTGTCTTATCAGGACATCCCTTCATTTCCAGCTGGGGTTGTGACCAAGACATTGCTGTTTCCTGCCAGGGAAGTGCCATCAAAAGGAGCAGATTTTTATGAAGACATCGCTGCATTTCCAGCTGGGGTACTGACACAAAAAGTGGTTGTTGTTTTTTTACCAAGACATTTTTTACAGAGACATCGCTGCATTTCCTGCTGGGATTGTGCGACAAGAAGTGGTTGTTTCTTGCCGAGACATCACTGTATTACCAGCTAGGGTTGTGCTGGGAAAAGCGGTTGTTTTTGACGAAGACATTGCTGTGTTTCCTGCCAGGTTAGTGACATAAAATGCATTTCTGTTTCTTTGTTTGTTTGTTTTTTTACGGAGGCATAGCTGTGTCTCCTGTCGTGGAAGTGCCACAAAAAGCAGCTGATTTTTATTAAGACATCCCTGCATTACTAGCTGGGGTAGTGCCACGAAGAGCGGTTGTTTTTTACCAAGACAGTGCTGTGTTTGTTGCTGGGATAGTATCATGAAATGCTTCTTTTTTTAGAATATTTTTTTAGATACTTCACTGCATTGCCTACTGGGATTGTGCCACCAAAACAAGGTATTTTAAAACCAAATCTTGATTTCTTCCTAACCATAACCAACAGAATGTTAACCACAGTGTTGTTGAAACATAAAGTCTCACCGTATCCTCTACATAAAAACATACAAATGTAACATATCCATGGGTTGCAGAAAGAAACAGTGCCAACATTTTTTTCTGGCAACTGGGTTGACATATCTGGTTCAGCATCCACTTGTCTTTGAAATGACAAGAAACAACAGTCATATTATGCACCGCCTACTTTGTCTGCCCAAAACATCTCAACCCTCAAGAATTCAGCATAGACAACACATATTTTGGTTCTGGATATGGCACTTTAATGTGCACTTAACATTTCTTATTACCCGTTGAGGACCTATTTGCATTTATTATACTGATGCAATTAATCACAGCTAATGAAGTTACTCACCACTTGAGTAGTTTTTTTTCTGAGATACTTTCTTACTCTTATTGTTATGAGACAATATGATACTAAAGACACAATACTTTTACTTGAGTACTGTTTTTGTTTACCCTCCCCACCACTGTCCACAGATTTAGACTCCCCAAAAATAAATTCAACATTCTCTGATGGGAAGGTGTGAAATTACAGTAGTCACACAATCAAATGCAACAAATGCAAATGACTTGAGCTCAGTTTGGAGATTAATTTCAGAAAATCATCACTAAATTACAACCAGGCTGTGAGATCACTAATTTATTCTCGAATAAAAATACATGAAATGATCATGATTCTAATTTTCCAGCGCAGGTGGGTTTTGACAGCTTTGACTGAGAATGTGAAGTGGATCTACACGAGGAAGCAAAGTGAGGCAGTTTCTGCTGCGCTGAATACCATTTGACAGTTGCATCATTCGAAAACAAATCATAAAAGAGGCTGCTCTTAAATCTGCGTTTGAGGAGGCTGTTTAAGAGAGAACTTGCAGAGTTTAAATAAACAAAGAGAAAAAAAAATCTAGAAATAGCCCTCATGGATTTGCTGAGTCTCTGGAACTTGTACAATATTTATTCCTCTCCTCCCTTCCCTCTGCAGCTCCAGACTTTATCAGACCCCAGTAGTGCGGAGCAGGAAGTGGGGAGATCGTACTGGTTTGTTGGGTGTTGTTCCTTTCTGTCTTCTCTTGCCAACCAGTGACCTACTGTACTTCACACTGCTACGCTCCCCTGGCTGTAATACATGCGGCCTTGGATGATGCAAACACCCTTAAGCTGCCAGTTTGCTCCGTCAGAAGTGCTTGTCGGATGGTTGAATAGCTTTCTAAAATTCCCCACCCCCCACCATGTTCTCAATGTCAGATAAAGTGGTGTCAAACTATTTTGGTTACTTTCTAAAACCAAAATTCACACCCATTTTAAACTGTGGCTGGCCTGCTGTGCACAGGTGAGGAAGCTACCAGGGTTTGAACTCTCTCTGTCTCACTTTTTTTGCTCTTTACACAACTTTACCTGTCACTTTTTATATGAACAACAGAGAGGACACGAAAAGGGGAAAGAATCAAAGTGCTTTTAGTATGCTACCTGAAAGCTATGATTGGTATCATTTACAAAAATAACTTTTCATGTTTGCTGAAATTGTCACTGCATCCACACATTACATGCAACAGATCCTGTTCCTCCTCCCTGTAGTTCATCTAATGGCATTTGAAAGAATGCACCACACCTGAGGGAAAACAACCAATCAGAGCCAAAGACCCTCTAACCCAACGTGTCAAACTAGGTAGCGCTGATCAAATATAAAGCAGTATTCTGTTAAAGCATTGCCTATTTCTCACCTCAAATGTTTCCAGGAACATATTTTAGTGTTAGCTATAAAATGAGAAAGGCTGTGAGCCAGCCGCCATACTGAAAACTATCAAGCCGAAACAAAGCATGAAAGCAAACTCTAATTTTACAATTAAATAAACACTGTTAGCAACATGTCCTGAGGTTAGTACAACAAGAGTGGGAGGCACACCTGCAGGTTCCTGGTCTGCTATTGCAAATACTACTGCATCACCCAGATGTGCAGATGACTGAGATGATAAATGTTTGAGTGCTTTGAATGTTTAAATAGCCAAGGTGAAACGAAATGAAACACTCCTACTACTGTACTTTTTTTTTTTAAATAATGGTTCTGTGTATTTTAGTATTTTCAGTTTCATTTTCATAGTTTCATGATCCTTATTTTTGTAATGGAAATACTGTACCAAAGTTGCCAGTGGGTTAAATGTTACCTCAGTGCCCAGCAGGAAGATTTTGTCTGTGTCTGACATTTGTAATACTGTGAGAAACATAATGCATTTGTTTTTTTGTTTTTTTTTAATGCTGTACCAAACTCACACTGAACCATGATTCCTAAACTGAGGTATGAACCAAACATTCTTTGACACCAAAGAGAGACAACAGCAGCAAGTTTCTCACTTGTCAAATAAAATTTGGTCCTAAGAATAAAGATACTCTGGTAAAACTATTTTGAAAAAAGGTGCTGAGAGAAAACAGTGTGTTAAAAATATAAAGTGTTGATAAAGTTTTTAAAAAGTGGCAGCTAAATGAGACAAACTTACACATCTGTGCCACCAGCAACCATTCAGGGGCGTCATAGAGAATCTTAATACTACCTAAAGCTGTTATTTCAGCATTTGACATGATTTTGTATAATAAGATTTGCCAAGATAACATCCATACAGTTACTGTGGTGTGTACATGTCTGGCTTACATAAAGCCTGTAATTAACCTAAGAACAAACAACATGACACCATATTCATATACACCAGACACAATCTGATACCCATGAATGCACAAGGACATTTAAACAGACACACACACACACACACACACACACACAGCAATCAGAGTGTTTCATTAGTGAGGAGCAGATAGATTACCCTCCCGAAGGAGACATTGACCAAGAGGCCATTGATCTACTGAGCTAAGCCAATCTGTGTGTCAATGTATGTGTATGTGTGTGTGTGTGTGTGTGTGTGTGTGTGTGTGTGTGTGAGAGAGAGTGCGCGCATGTAGAAAGTAGCCTACTGATGGAGTCTTTAAGTTGTTAGAGTAAGCACAGTAAATCTAATCCAGTTGTGTTTAATGGAGAGAGAAAGAAACAGGCAGTTGACATATTCATTAGGTCCAATTACTTCGTCCAATCAGTGCCATCTCACTCACTCACCAGAGAGACAGAGAATCAGCACTATTTATGTCTTGGCACACCACCATGAGGAAGAAGATTGATAGTACTTGAATGATAAATAAAAAACATATTTATTCCACTTACTGAATGACAAGATGGCACATTTGGAGGCATCTAATATCATTTGATCTCATTCAACCCCCGTCAGAGGACTGAAGTGTAAATCAATCTGGCTAAAACTGGAATTACTCAATTACACGGCCTTATTGACGATTCAATAAAGACGGTTGGGCTCGAGGGTTGTAATCATGACTTATGGTAATAATAC